CTTGACACTCTTGCTTCTAAGGATCATGCTGGTTATACTTCTTCCAAGACAAAAACGTACTATTTTGTTGTTGTTGTTGTCAAGTGCCATCAAGTCAGTTCTGACCCATAGCAACCCTATAGAGGGTTTCCAAGGAGCTTCCCCAATATTTATGAACAAGAACAGGAATCAGATATGACCTTTTCTCTTAAGGACCTCAGAATTAGGAGAGACAGAAGCAAATTTGTTAGTTAATATAAAATGGACTGTGAAAAAAAGTATTAGGTGTAAGATACAAAGATTCTGGGTATATTGAGGAAGAAGCAGTGAATTCTGACTAGAGATATAAGGGAAAACTTCATGGAGAAGGTGACATTTGAATTGTGCCTTGAAAAATAAGTATAATTGCTATGTTGTTGTTGTTAAGTGCTGTTGAGTCAGTTCCAACTCATAGGAACCCTTTATAGGGTTTCCGAGGAGCAACTGGTGAGCTTGAACTGAACAGGAAACGGTAGAAACATTAACTGCCTCGTCCCCACCAATGTTAATCAGGTAACTGAATGGGACCAATCTCCCCCACCCAGGAGACCAATTAGAATGCTAATCGGGTTACTGAGCAGGACCAATCCACAACCACCCCCTGTCCAAGAGACAAACCAGAATGTTAATCAGGTCACCAAATGGAACCAATCCCCCTGGTTTCCCTGCTGTCCTCAAACAGGTCAGCACCCTAGCCCCTCCCCAACTCTGACCCCATATAAGCCCGGGTTGCCTTCCATTCCAGAATCTGGGGAAATTAGCTCCTCTGAGCCATCCAGCTTAATATAAACTGAAACTCTGCTTCACCTCTCTGAATGGCCTTGGTTTCTTTGACGACACATCAAGAGCTGCAGTGACACTCTTGAATATAAAACTGCTGTAACAGAACTGCTAACCTTGCAGTTCACCTGTGTAGGGTTTCCGAGGATCAACTGGTGAGCTTGAACCACTGACCTTGCAGTTCAAATGGCTTTGCAGTTTGGCGCATTAACTGACAGCACCACACAGGTCCTTTCTAACATAAAAATAGTTAATCATGATACCCCACAGCAGAAAGAGCCATCCCACTTGTTTTTCTTTGCCAAAGGAAAGCTGATCAAGTTCAAGTTTCATGTGGCCATGTGCTTCGGAAGAAACCCCAAGGACAGCATATTGATTGGTCTGGACCAGCTACAAACTCATTTCCACTGCTTGTCACTGGATCAGGCATAGACACGTGATATTATTCTGGCCTATGAGATGTGAAGGGAAGTCTACTGGGAAAGTGTTTCTAATAAAGGAAGGAAACAAGCCTTTTTTCCCCTGCCTGGTTCCTTGATGAGATCATCAAGCCACTGAATTAACCAACTATATGAACCACTGATCTAACCTGAGACCTCTTGACACAGGAGATAACATTTTCTTATTGTTTAAGTAACATCTGGTTGAATTGTTGCTTTGGTTAATGATGTTACTTGCAGTCAGATGTTTCCCAACTGATAAAAACATCTACTTGAAATTTGCATTTCCTTTTTGTTGGCTCAACCTTCTGCTAAATTTTACTCCTTTCCATTCTGTTTGTTTGCTTCATCAGGATAGAAGCTGACAGTGTACTTAGCTAGTCTCTCCAAGCACACAGGTAGGGAGATATGAAAATGTAAGAAAACAATTACACAGTGTAATACCTTAATTAGTTTACATCATCACGATACAAACGTGGTTAAGCACTTGGTAACTCTTTGTGGTGGGAGTGGGGAGGAGAGGAGAGGAGAGTAGGGCTGAAAATATGGACGTGTGGGCAAGTCCAGGGGAAATGATGTAATCTCTTCCTGGTCCACGGCAGTGCTGGAATTCACAGTTAATTCTCACAGTAGCCATGACTACCTCTGGAACAATCTGCCTAGAAGGAAGTCAACTAGAACAGGGTAAAAAAATGTGCTATCCTCACTCCTATGACTGGATCAATCCCAGGAACCCAGCCCTAAGCAGGGTAAAAGTTGTGAACTTAGAAAAGACAGTTTCCAGTAGCCACCCACTTCCCTTCCTAATCCTTCTCCTTTTTTTAATGCTCATCTTTCTCTCCCTTCTGTCCCTTCACTATGACACTGAAGGATAAGCACAAGACTGCTAAGCACAAGGTCAGCAGTTCAAGCCCACTAGTCAGTTCCTATGTTGTTGTTATGTGCTGTGGAGTCGGTTCCAACTCATAGCAACCCTGTACAGGGTTTCCAAGGCTGTAAATTTTTATGGGAGCAGAAAGCCTCATCTTTCTCACGAAGAACAGCTGGTAGTTTCGAACTGCTGACCTTGTGGTTCACAGGCCGATTCGTAACCACTACGCTACCAGAGCCCTATATAGGGCTGCTATGAGTCTAACTGACTGAATGGCATTTAACAGCAACACCCACTCCCTTCATCAAGAACCCATGTCCTGATTGCCTGATGATCTCAGAAAGTATAGTCACTGACCTCAAGAAGCAGAAAGCCTATCTTACTCCCTCAGAGCAGCTGGTAGAGTTGAACTGCCAATCTTGTGGCTAGCAGCCCAGTTCATAATCCACTGCACTACCAGGGATCCTTACCTCAGGGGACTTGGATTTTAAGAATGAGGTCTCTGCCAGCTCACACAGAACTTTATCCTGTCCTTACACCACCACATCCTTACTGGCTGGTTTATCCCATTCCTCTCCAGTCTCAGTTTAGATGTCTCTTCCTTTGGAAAGCCTTCTTGATCCCTTAGAGCCTATTCCTCTGATGTGTCCCCAGAGTACTGAAAGCCTTCCTCCCTGAGCACTTGTCACACTGATTTGGAATTCACGGTCTCTTAGTAAACTAGTACCCAGCACAGCCTTGATACTTAGTACTCGACTTACTGAATGATAAAGGAATGAATGAACCACAATCTGTTCATATACTAAAACACTAGGGCTCTGCAGAGACCATTATTGTCTTAAACCATTGTACCCCTAGCACCCAGTCCAGTTAGGTTATGGTTGTTGTTGTTAAGTGCCGTCTAGTCGATTCCGACCCATAGTGACACTGTACAGGGTTTCGGAGGAGCAGCTGGTAAGCTTGAACCACCGACCTTGCAGTTCAAATGGCTTTACAGTCTGGAGCATTAACCCACAGCACCACACAATTATGTTAAACAATTGAAAGAAGTCTTCATAAGAAAGGTATTTATATCAATGCTATTACTGCTCGTAGTGTCCTACCATCTTTATCACAAGGGCAAGAAGCAAGCCTAGTGACCTTTGCTAGACTATCAAGAATGGGGAATAGAGCAAGATGGAGGGAAAGTTCTGGGACTATAGCTACTTTGGGGTTGGGGCCCTTTCTTCAGCCATAGCTTTAATTTTCTAGGAAGTCTTAATCTGGGACTCACAGGTTAAGAAGGGTTTCAGAAGACCTATGAATCCTCTGACACTTTAATCAAATATCCATGCCATTAAGGGTATGTGTATTTTTCTCCAAGAGGGTATTTGGCTTTCAATGAGTTTTCAAAAGGCATTGTTATGCGCCCTGGAGTAGGTTCTAAGTCACAGTGACCCTGTGTAGGGTTTCCTAGGAGCAGTTGATGGGTTTGAACTGCAGACCTTGCAGTTGGCAGTCTAGTGCTTATCCTATAGCACCATACCAGGACCTAACTGCTGTTGTTGCTGTGTGCCATGGAGTCAGTTCCAACTCATAGTGACGCTGTATAGGGTTTCTGAGACTGTAAATCTTTACGGGAGCAGAAAACCCCATCTTTCGACGGACTGCCTGATGGACTTGAACCACTGACCTTCTGATTAACAGCTGAATGAGTAACCCACTATCTTACCAGGGCTTGATATTCACCCTGCTCTCCCTCCACCCCCACCAAAGCAACAACAGAAATTTGTGCACTGCCCCATACAGCAGACACCAGTCATAGATGGTTATTTAAGTTAAACCAATGAAAGTCCTAGTACTTTCCGTTAGTTGCACTGACCACATGTTAAGTGCTGATTAACCGCCTCTGGTTACTCTATTGGACAGCGCAGAAATATACCATTTATTTCCCTCATTGCAGAAAGTTCTATAAGGCACAGCTTCTCTATAATAGTAACATCACTCCAGATTCAATGTCTAAACAAGATTTGTTAGTTTCATAAACGGCTTTTTAAAATGAGATGTCTATGTTTAGAAATCAAAACATAAAACTATGGAATCTTGGTTTATTTTGGGAAAGGGGGGCCATCTGCCAGTTTGGGGCCTGCATTCCTCTTAACATCTCTAGGCTGGAAGGGGACTGGTCCCTTTAAATGTGCCTTCTGGGGTGGTCTACTGCCCTTACATTCCCTGTTGTCATACTGAAGATACCCACCTAGATTTTAGTAGCATTTGAGTTTGAGGCCTCCGTTTCTGGGGAAACTTGCCCACTCTAGTCTCCTTCCAGTCTCCTGTGTTTGTAACCAGACTTCAAGTTTTGGCAAGTGGGTTGAATTTGGTTTAAGAGCACATCTTGGGTTGGAGTCGGTGGGTGGTGGTGGTGTGAGATTTGGAATTCCACTTTGAAGTTGAGATGGGACAGCACCTCCTTCCTTCCAGTTCTCCGAAAAAGGAAGAAAAGAGAGGGAATTTTATCATGAACATCTGTTGCTTGAGAAAGAACTTCTTCCCCATCTTCCCTTGAGTCCTCCAGTCCCCATCCCAGTTCGCTTGGGCCCGCCTCTCGCTAGAGATCTCAGGGAGGGGCCCGAGTCGAAATCTGAGCCCTGCACCCACCACCCCGGCTAGCTACGTGGCTCCGCAGCACAGGCCTCCCCCCGCAGCCCAACAGGCCAATGGGCGCGTGAGCGGGGACAGCTCCAAGCTTCCCAGCACCAGCCCGAGGCGCGTCCCTCTGCTTGGGCACGGGGCGGGCCCAGGCCGAGAGGCTGGACCATCCCCTCCCCTACTCCGGCCCCAGCCCTGCCGGCGCCGAGCTCCGAGCCCCCATTCCCCAGCGGCTGCTCTGGCCGCGCTTCCCTTCAGGCCGCCCTTCTCTGGACGATGGCGCACGGTGGCCGCGGTCGCTGCCTAGGACTCGTCCTGGGGCTGCTGCTGGTGTTGGCGCTGGCTCCCGTGACGCTGCGAGCTAAACCCACGGTGCGCAAGGAGCGCGTGGTGCGACCGGACTCGGAGCTGGGCGAGCGGCCGTCCGAAGACAACCAGAGCTTCCAGTATGACCACGAGGCCTTCCTGGGCAAAGAGGACTCCAAGACCTTCGATCAGCTCACTCCCGACGAAAGTCAGGAGAGGCTGGGGTGAGGCCGCGGGCTGGGCTGCTCTCAGGGGCGGTGCAGGTGCCTGAGGGGGCACTGGGCGGGAGACACGCGCGGCAAAGCGAAAGCGAAATCGCAATCAAGAGGGGTCTGAGGGCGGGGCCTGCCAGGCAAAGCCGTGGAGCTCTGGCAGAGGTGCTGGTGGGTTCAGGGGACCCGGCCCCGAGGACCCCTGCCTGGGGATCGCTGGCGGGGAGGTAGAACGTGGCAGCGGTCGAAGGAGCCAGAGTGGCGAGGGCCCGCCCCCTCCCCTTGGTTGCATCAGAGAGGAGGGGATAGAGTATACAAAAGAAGAGTTTGTCCAGAGCGGCCTTTTTGTGACACGAATTATTCCCCATCCTGGCAGTTTCTTCTTACCCTATTGCCAGAAAGAGGAGCTTGAGACACTGCTAAGATTTCACGGATAAACATAAATGGATTAAAGATGACAGGGGCAGGCGAGGGAGAGGCTTGATTCCTGGCTGTGTCTCTCTGCTGAGACGTTCTTGCCGTCTGCTTAATCGTCCAGTAAATCTGATGTTGTTGTTGTTGTTATGTGCCGTCGAGTCGGTTCCGACCCACAGCGACCCTGTACAGGGTTTCCGAGGGTGTAAATCTTTACGGGAGTAGAAAGCCTCATCTTTCTCCTGCTGAGCAGCTGGTAGTTTCGAACCGCTGACCTTAAGGTTCGCAGCCCAATTCGTAACCACTAAGCTACCAGAGCTCCTTAGGGGGTATAAAACTCTGGTTGTTATGAAGAGAAAGCAGTTGGGGTTAGGGACTTGGGGGCGGTGGGTTAAAAACTGGTCTAATTTCTGCCCTTAGTAAATGTCTTTGCAGGCACTCAGTCCTTTTGCAAGTAATTCCTGTGATTAGATAGCGGAAGGGTGACTTGGGTAGTGGCTTGTGAATTTCACTATTGAAGCCAGAGAATCAAACCTGGGAAACAAAATTTTAGTGTTTCTGAGCACTGGCCCAAGGTCCTCTGGTAAAACATTCAGGTATTTGGAAATCGTTCCACAGCTGGATTAGCAGCTCCCCTAATGCTAGTCAGAGACTCAACTGGGGAGAGTTCTCGCAGCCCTGCCCACTGAACACCAGGCCTCAGGGAAACTTGGTACCTGTAGATGGAGGTTACTCCTGCCCTAGTACATAAAAAAGAACACAACCATCCCTGTACTGCTGGAAGTCATGAAAGGTCAAGGAGCTTGGTTTGGATATGAGACTAAATTAGAACTATTGTGTAGGTACACTAGCTGCCTGCTCATGATAAAAGGATCTTTGAACTTCAAAGCCACCTCCACACAATCAACTGCTCTTTTACAGAGAAGTACTTTCTCCTCTTGTTTGGGACTTTACAATGGGGACCATTGATTAGTTCAGTCTGTTGTATTGCTTTGTGGCACTTGGAGGCTGATATATTCTGGGGCCCTGGGTGGCAGCCATTTGGGGCATTGACATTGAAGAGGAGGCGGGGCAGGAGTTTTGGAATCTCGATTCAAAAACTCTGGTGTGCATTCATACTGCTTGTCATTTAATGCCTAGTGATGAGAGCAGGTGCTGATGGAGTTTGTCTGGGTTTGATCCTTTTATGAGCATCTTAATCTAATGTTTTTTCTTTTATTCATGCAACAGGTATTTGAATAGCTACTGTGTTCCAGGCACCACCCTGGTAGAGACCAAGAACCTTCTCATATTCTAGGCCTCAAAGTGTATATAGTCAAATGAAGAGACAGTTACACAACTGATACGGCACATACTGCTGTGACGGTGGTGTGTGTAAAGTGCAGTTAGCACATCATGGACAAGGAGCCCTTAGGCTTGAAGGTGAAGAAAAGGGGTGGTGGTTTGGAGGAGTGTTACTGATCAGAGCTTGAGGGATGACTCAGAAGTTGCCAAGTGTACAATTAGGTCAAGCTATTCCCAAAGAGGAAATAGTTCTATTATAAAGGTTTTGAAAACTGTTCTGGGGGAATGAGAGTTGTTGGGATGGTAAAGGAGTTTGTTGTTAAGTGCCGGCAAATCGGTTCCGATTCATAACGACTCTGAATAGGGTTTCCGAAGAGTGGCTGGTGAGCTTGAACCACTGGTCTTGCCATTCAAGCCGACCTTGCAGTCTAGCACATTAGCTTAGGACTCCACGTAAAGGAGCAGGGAATTAAAAATAGGTGGTGGAAGTGGAGAGAGAGCCAAGGACAGAACAGGATAGACTTCATGAGATTATGTAGGTAAATTGGCATAGGGTCCTAGAAACTCCTTAGGAATGTCAAGCTGGAATAGGGTAGAGAACATGCCTCAGGGAGAGGACAGACAGGGAAGAGGCAATGAGGGCCTGGCCAGTTCAGATGTGGGAGGAGAGCATGAGTTCAGAGCCATGTAAGTGAAACTGGTGGATCTTGCTCTTGACTCAACATGGGGAAGACAAGGCAGGAAGAAGTCAAGGGTGACATCTTGGTCTCCAGTTGGGTAATGAATGCACGCCCACCTGTAAAATAAATCTAGAATGCAGTACCTCTCTGTCTACATTGCCAATTGCATGTGTAAACTTGAGAAGGAGGAACATGACTGAATTGGACACTTTGTCACCAATACCTGACCACAGATTCTGAAAACCTGACAGCTCTAAGGTTCTTGGATGCAGTAGGCTAGAGATTTGCTATAAATGTGCCTCTTAGAATTTAGGAAAAATAGCCACAACTTGTCAACGTTTGAGTGAGGTCACCTATAGATCCCTATTTCTGGTTTCTTTATTCCTACCTGGCAGTCGTAGTCTGGAAAGGGACAGCCTTGTTTGGTGGCTGAGGCAGGGGATCTCCCAGTTGCCATATGTGCTTGCCAGAAGGCTTTGCCTATCTCTGTTACTTGTTGGGTGTTTGTTTTCTACCCACCTCTGATTGAAAGTATTGTCCTTAGTGAGGAAGTACACACACACACTCCCTTATTCCTCACAGTATTTCCTTTTGTGTGTGTGTGTGTGAGGGCTGATAATTTTTTTTTAAATGTTTTATTGTGAATTATGTGATAGTTTACATAGGAGAACGTTAGCTTTACATTCATTTCATTGCCATGGTTACAATCCCCTCCATACATCATCAACCAACCAAAGGGTATATCTTACAAGCCTGACCCCCGCCCCCGCCATCCCCATTTCTCCACATCATCGTCTCTGCATCCTTCTGTGTCGTCACTGATTCTCTTGGTAAGGTCCCGGCTCTCCGCTCTTCTCCCTTGATGGTCCCAGGGACCTCTGCTCCTACACTGCAAAGTCAATCACTCCCCTCCTTTTGCTACAAAACGTCTACCTTTACATTTCCAACCCTCACAGTCAGTCCTGATAACAATTATTCACTATTGAATCACAAAAGACCTAACCGCATTCCGCCCCCCCCCCTTGTCATCAGCCCACCCAGACAGATTGGATACTATTCAGTAGAGATTCTACCTTCCTCCACACCCTCTGGATCTAGCTTCCCTCTTGCTTGTAAGCCAGTCACTTCTTGCCTTTGTAGCCCCACCCCCATTTTAGGTAGCCAATGTCCAAGTTGCCCATCCATGTCTACTCTTCTCACAGTATTTCTTCTGACGTAGAGATTTTTACTTTCAATTAAGAGATAGGGAACTGAGCAGAGAGAAGTCACCATTTTTTGTTGTTAGTTGCCATTGAATTGATTCTGACTCTTGCTGACCCCATGTGTACAAAGTAGAAGTGTTCCATAGGGTTTTCAAGGCTGTGACCTTTTGAACGCTGATGGCCTGGCCTTACTTTCAAGGTGCCTCTGGGTAGGTTTGAACCATCAACCATTAGGTTAGTAGTCTAATCTCTAGCCAGTTGTACCACTAAGACCATATAGACCGTAAGCACCAAAGCCAGAACGAGGATCAAGGTGTTCTGATTGTAGTGTTGGGCGTTGTCCCAATAGCTCTTGAGAGTTTTAAAGAGAAAGGTTAAAATCTTATTTATTCTACCACTAAATATTTAAATATTTACTATACTACTACTGTATCATACTGAGCTGTGCCCTGGATGTTCGCTTGAACAGATTAGATGCTGTCCTTTCCATGAACAAGTGTTTTACAGACTGATGTTGTTAAATCTTTGCTAGTCAGAATGCTCCTTAGAAGCCAGGATGACCAGACTAAGTCTCTCATACTTTGGACATATTGTCAGGAGGGTTCAGTCCCTGGTGAAGGACATCATGCTTGGTTAAGTGGCAGGTGAGCAAAAAAGAGGGAGACCCCTAACAAGATGGATTGGCACAGTGGCAGCAGCAGTGGGCTCAAGCTTAGCAACGATTGTGAGGATGGCGCAGGACTGGGCAGTATTTTGTCTCTGTGAATTGGAACCAACTTGATGGCACCTAACAACAAAAACAGTCTGAAAGTCTGACTTTGGATAACCAATGGACATGTTCATCACTGTGTCCTCAGGATTAGAGCAGTGTTTGGCACATGATATAGGTAGACGGGAGTCCTGGTGTGGTGCTGTAGGATAAGCACTGGACTGCTAACTAACCATTAACCAAAAGGTTCAGACTTAGCAGCTACTCCTCGGGATTCCTATACTCGTAGGATCTCCATGAGGCGAAACCAACTCCATGACAGTTAGCAACAACAATGTAGGCAGGTTGGTAGGTAGGTAGAGAAAAAGAGCCAAAAAGAGAGATGCCTGCTGTCCAATCGACTGACTCATGGCGACTCCATGTACAACAGAACCAAACACTGCCCAGTCCTCTGTCATCCTTACCATCACGGGAGTGTGGAGTTTCTCAATGCAGCCACTGTGCCCATCCAACTCAGGGCGCGTCTCCCTTCCCCTTGCTGACTCTTTCACCAAACATAATGCCCTCCTCCAGTGACTTATCCCTCCCGATGACATGTCCACACAAGTGAGTTCTGCTGTGATCCATAAGGTTGTCATTGGCTAATTTCAGAAATACATTCCTAGGCCTCATTTCCTAGCCTGTCTTAGTCTGGAAACTCCACTGAAACCTGTCCACCCAGTTAATTTGAAATATTAATGGTATAGCTTCCTTCATCACAGCAACACACACGTCACCACAGTCTGACAGATGAGTGGTGACAGCCCATAGCAGGCAGGCTCAATACTGCACATTGTTGAAAGAAGCCTGCAGTATCTTGGAGCAAAGCCTGAAAATGCTTGAGGTTTAGTCTTTCAGTCTTGGGATCTGTTAACGCTGTATGAAGGTACACTTGAAAACTGCGGCAACATCACACACAACGTCCTGAAAACAGAGTCTGGGCTCCCCAGGTTCAGGTAGGAGTGGGTCCCAACCTATTTGATTATTCACTCCAGCCCTTGACTCCTCCCTACAACCTCCCCCAAATCCTCGCAGTAACTGGAAATTTCATTTATTAGTCTGTATTTATTAAACAACGAATGAATTTGATTGTCATTTTTAAAGATTAGCAGCCAATCAGATCCTCTGTTCACAGTAAGAATGATTACCATTGTGTTGATAGAATTCCAACCCAAAGCAAAAAAAAAAACAAAAAACAAATATATATATATATATATTTCCATAATTACCTTGCATAGCTTCATTACAGGTAAATGAACTGCTTGCAGGGGAATCACTTATGGTTGCTTTTGAAGGTCTCTAGAGGAATGATGTCCCTAGCTTGGGACCTTTGGCATAGAGATGGGGAATGATGAGTTTCCAGCCTGAAGTTTACCCTGGATTGGGGTTTAGAATAACTCTTTGAAGTATAGTTGGAAGTTACTGAAAGCTGGGCGGGGAGTGGAGCAGGCGACACCAGTGGGCATTGGGTTCCTTAGCCTAGAGTTGGGGCACCTGCAATTGCTCAGTTTTATGCAAATTACATGCTTTTTTTTTTGCTAACTGGGTTCTGTGCCTGTTTTGGAAGAAGTGCAGCCAGAGTGCTCCTTGGAGGCCAGGATGGCTAAGCTTCGTCTCTCCTACTTTGGACATATTGTCCGGAGGAAACAATCGCTGGAGAAGGATGTCATGCTGGGTAGGGTGGAGGGTCAGAGAAAAAGAGGAAGACCCCCAACGAGATGGATCAGCCAGGTGGCATCATTGATGGACTCAAGTGTGGCAGCGGTAGTGAGGTTGGCCCAGGATCGAACATTGTTTCGTTCTGCTGTGCATGGGGTCACTATGAGTCAGTTCCGACTCGATGGCACCTGACAACAACAACAATATAGAACACACATACTATTTGTGTAAATATATGGTAGCTTCATTTATGTTACCGTCCATATTTTATGCTTTCTCCAGTAAGATCTGATCTTTAAGATTCAAGTGTCTGAATACAAAAAAAGAAAGAAAGAAACAAGCCCCCAAAACAAATAACTCACTTATCTTTTGGTACATAGCAATGACATTTTTTGCAGTGGACATAGAACCAAAAGTCTTGGGTTCTGACCCAAGATGGACCAGATGTGCAATGTTAGGAAAGTAATCTTGTAACAGTAACTTTGGATTTCAGTTTCCACTACACACAAATGACAGAGTTAGACTACATCAGGCAAATCTAATGCCAGGATGTAGCAAAAGTATTACTGCAAAATCCTAGATGTCTTTATTAAGTAAAACTGTGAAACTGTAGTTTTCTCAACATACTCTCCACCTAGGTCTATTCACTTCTGAAGGTGATGTTTCCATCTGTCCAGCCCTTTCCAGAAGAATTCTGTACTGATTTACACCATGTCAAAACAGCTTTAGCATCCGTGAGGCACTCAAATTGTGTTTCTTTTAAATGTTCTTTGAGTTTATGGAACAAAAAGAAGTCCAAAAGGGCAAAATCAGGGCTGTAGGATGATGGATGGGGTAAGCTTTCCCAATGAAATTCTCCCATGACAGCCCTTGCTCCTCTCAAAGAGTGAGAAGGTACATTGTCTTGATGGAAAATATTTCCTCAGTGCAAGTTTCCTGGCCTTTTTCTCACCAATACAGTTTTCCATTTCTTAACACATCTTCCCCTGCTATCGACCTCTGTTCTTCAAGAAAATCTATCAACATTACCCCATTGGAATCTGTAAAAACAGTCACCATAACCTTCAGCATTAACGTCTCTGCCTTGAATTTAACGGCCCAGCAATGCCCTCAGAAGGCCTTGATTTTATGGGACCATTTCATGAGATGAAGGCAAGTGTGTTACTGAGAAAACTTGTTTGCAGCCCTCCAGTGCTCAAAGTGATATGTTTAAACACCTTTTGTTTGGAATAAACTCATGCATGTGTGAACTAGAACCCTAGTAGCAATATTTCTTGACTTACCCTCTTATTAGGTCAACTCTTAAGTAACTGGTAGTGGCCATTCCAGAGCACTTTGTTGAGAAGGAGTCTAAGAACCCCCAGGTTTATCAAGACTGGGGGAGCATCAACAAGTGAGTCTGCTGTGAAGACATTGGATGTGGGTAAGGCATATCCTTTGAAAAGGATCGACTTGAAGGGGCTTCCTAGTGCCTTCAAATGATAGATTCCAGTATAGTATGCGTGCATTTTAGTTTCTGCAGGTCTTTGATCTTTTGTAAGACCAGGGTCACACGGTCTTGGTGTTTTTTGTTTTGTTTTGAACTACAGGAAGATTGTCGATCGAATAGACAGTGATGGGGATGGCTTTGTCACCACGGAGGAGCTGCAAACCTGGATTAAACGGGTGCAGAAAAGATACATCTACGATAATGTTGCTAAAGTCTGGAAGGATTACGATCGAGACAAAGACAATAAAATTTCCTGGGAAGAATACAAACAAGCCACCTATGGTTACTACCTAGGTAGGAGGGGCTAGAGAAATGACTACACAGCTTCTTGCAGGAAGCACTCCACTCTCATCTGATCCACTTCCTTTGGGGAGGTGTCATAACCTCTTAAGTATAACCTGTTTGTGTACATCTTCCTCTCCTTACTGGGAGTATACAGTTTATTTGGAAATCTGGTGTGGTGCTGTAGGATAAAGCACTGGACCACAAGGTCTGTTTGAACCACAAGGTCGGCAGTTCAAATTTACCAGCCGCTCTTTCGAAACTCTATACAGGGTCATCGCTATGAGTTGGAACTGACTTGATGGCACTTAACAACAATAACAACACAATTTATTTACTCTTGAGTGAAGTCCTAGGTGGTGGGTTGGGTGGGGTCAAGGAATGAATTAATAAAAGATGCCGTAGACTTAATCACTGCCCTCCTGAGCTTAGGGTCTCAGAGGCACACACAGTAAACAAAGCAGAGAAGACGCATTTCTGTGATACATTTTCTAAATGCTGCTACATTTAGGTTTTCAGAAAGCAGGAATTGTAGCTGGTGGAACAATCAGGGAAGTCCTCTTGGAGGAGGAGGGTGGTTTGGGAGCTGGGCCTTGAAAAATGGATTGCTATTTGGAGAGAGAGGCTAGTGGGGAAGGTAGGTAGGGCAGTGCACTCAGAGACGTTTACACGGTATGAGTACTGCTGTTGTTGTTATGTGACGTAGCCACCCTATGCTCAACAGAACGGAACACCCCCAGTCCTGCGCCATCCTCTCAATTGTTGTGACACTTGAGACCATTGCTGCAGCCACTGGACCAATCCATCTTGTTGAGGGTCTTCCTCTTTTTCACTGACCCTCCACTTTATATGAATACGAGGAAACCTCTTATGTTCCAGATCGAAGAATTATATAATGACAGCAGAATTCTGGGAAAAGAAGCATGGCATTAGTATTGTGTAAAGCCAGTTTCTATAATGCCCCTTTTAAGCCCTTGTTGTTGTTGAGTGCCGTCAAGTCAGTTCCAACCCATAGCAACCCTGTACAAGGTTTCCGAGGAGCAGCTGGTGAGCTTGAACCACAGATTTTGCAGTTCAAACGGCTTTGCAGTCTGGCGCATTAACCCACAGCGCCACACCAGGACTTAGCCACACGAGCCCTTAGTACCTGGATTATGGAATGGCACAGTTATACTGAGGCATTCTGAAATAAAATGGTTCAAAAGCCAGGCCTATTGTCCCATGTCTACAATGAAGGGTGCATAGTTTGGAAGAAAATGCTTCCCTTGGCAGCAGTGTCAGCTTCTGTTTGTATTCTGTAGGAAACCCTGCAGAGTTTCATGACAGTTCAGATCATCACACCTTTAAGAAGATGCTGCCACGTGACGAGAGAAGGTTCCAGGCTGCAGACCTCGACAGTGACCAGACAGCTACTCGGGAAGAGTTCACTGCTTTTCTGCACCCTGAGGAGTTTGAGCATATGAAGGAAATTGTAGTTTTGGTAAGATAACTGAAGAGCCTGGGCTGGCTCAGAACCCGGGAGAAAGCTGCACCTTGATCTTCCATCTCTCAGAGAGAAAATGTTTTCGCAGCCTGAGAAGATTTGGAGGGCTCTGAAGCGGGATGCATTGGAATACCTGCTTATCCAGTAAATTGGTCAGGGCAGGCTAGCTACAGTAGCAAATAGCCCACAATCTTAACTCTGTGACACAATAAAAGCTTATTATTGGCTTTTACAAAGTTTACTGCAGACATTCCCAGTCAGGTGCTCATTCAGATATCCAGGCTACTTCATCTTGTAGCTTCAAGGTCATCCTGGTAACAACCATTTGGCAGACGAAAGGAGAGAGATGGGTTAAGAAGAAGGCATAGTAGCTTATCCTAACTGCTCAGGCCTGGAAATGAGCTATCCCTCCGTTTACATGCCATTATTGTTGTTATTATGTGCTGTGGAGTCGGTTCCAACTCATAGCAACCCTGTACAGGGTTTCCAAGGCTGTAAATCTTTACAGGAGCAGAAAGCCTTATCTTTCTGCCGTGGAACAGCTGGTAGTTTTGAACTGCTGACCTTGCGATTCACAGCCTGATTCATAACCATTACATACCATTGGCCCCAGCTAAATCTGAGGAGGCTGGGAGATGTTGTTTGGGTATATGCGCATATGGGTTTAGTTAGCAACTAGCTAGTTAGTCTCTGTCCTTTTTTTAAGCTTTAAGAGGAGTAGGAAAAAACAGAAATGAGAATCCACTGGAGTGTTAAAACCATGTGGAAACTTAAAAACCGTATTTGGAAAGGCTATTGCCCTTAGGTTTATATCTTTGGAGGGTGAATGGATTAGGTTCTACACTTTGGGAACTGGCAATGTTTGAAAGGCCTCTGAGTGTAGATGTTTTCTATACTGTCTTGTTGGGTCCCAAATGCCTTCATTTTCTACAATTAATTAAATATTATCATTTACCTATTTCCTGGGCAGATAACACAGAACCCCTTCCAACCGCTTCAATGCAGGGAAATATCTGGCCAAAAGTTTTTTTTGTTGTCACGTCTGGACTTTGTTGATTACCTGGTTGGTGGATGGGTCCACTCTTGTCTCATTCTTCATTTTCATGATCACCTGATTCCATGAATTGGGCACTGTCTCCAGGAGTAAGTTCTGCTGACTACCCAATATCCATGTCCTAGTAACTCATTTGGTAGAGGAAGATGAAGATGGGATATTATCCACAATGCATTAGGTGCCTTGTAGGGCAGCCACTGCTCTCTGGTTGGTATCTTCTTTGACCCAAGATGCCTCTGAGTTGCTTTGACAATGGTTAGTAAACTCATTGTTGACCATAGCAAAAACCTAATTGTCAAATGTACTTTCATCTTTAAATTGTCCACTGTTTTATATTTTTTCTGACACCAGTTCAGTGTTCATAGTCCTAACATGGTAGTACTGAAATGGATTTTTGTAATATCATTTAGTGGTTCTCAAATTAGATTCCTCAGCTGCTACCCCAGGTATTGCTTTGGCTCGGTGGTGAAATGGTTGGCCTGGGAGGGCTTTCTGATATGGTCAGAACAACCCTGGGCTTAGGAGTACATTCTCATTGAAAGAGAGTTCCACTGTTAAAGATGTGGGATGGGGGAATAGTTACAAAAACCACTGCCTATTGTTTACAGATAAAAACACAAAACCACCCAGGAGGATAAAGAGACACGCCAGAAATCCTCCAGCATTCTCCTTTTCTTCCTAGGAAACTCTGGAGGACATCGATAAGAACGGAGATGGCTTTGTGGATCAGGATGAGTACATTGGTAAGTGTGGGCCTGAACTCTTGCTCAGCTACCCCTGCTGGGCAGTATTCCTCCACTCACATGTCTGGCCACTCTCCCCACCTCCCACCCAGCATCTCTTAGCAACAGCTGCAAGAGGTAGGTCTTGCTCCTGTGGCTTCCCAGAGGGGACAACCTTCCTGATTTTCACTCCAGTCTCAGCGGAGCAGTCTCAGTTAGTGGAGAAGAGGCAATAAGCATTGGACCACTAATTGCAAGGTTGACTGTTCAAATTCACCTGCCGCTCCTTGGAAACCCTATACAGGGTCACTATGTGTCAGAACCAACTCGATGGCACTTAACAACAAAACAACATGCACTTTACAAAAGGAATTACCTCTCTAAGAAGGAATTCCTTTCTATGGAGAGCTCTGCTGGAGTGTATAACCAATTCCACTGATCACAACTGTACCTTCTCAGAGCCTCCAGGCACTGCGGACACGCATTCTTTTTCGAATCTTTCCCCTGAGACTGCTCTAGCCAAACTATAAACATATGGGCTCTCCAATCCCGTTTACAAAGGTAAAATTGGGCAGCGTGGTGAAGGGCACCTGTCAGAGCCCTAGGGCCTCTATTAACCAACCTAGTGGTTTGTGAAGTGCCGTCGAGTTAGTTTCAACTCATAGCAACCCTGTATAGGGTTTCTAAAGAGTGGTTGGTGGGTTTGAACTGCTGACCTTGTGGTTAGCAGTCAAGTGCTTACCCTACAATGCCACATCAGGACTCCTGTAAAGTGCATGCTGTTGTTAAGTGACCATGAATCGGTTCTGACCCAGTAACCCTGTGTAGTGTTTCTGCAGAGCAGCTGATGGGTTTGAGTTGCCAATCTTGTGGTTAGAAGCCCAGTGCTGATCCTACAGCACCACACCAGAATAAAGTGCATGTTATTGTTGTTAAGTATTGTTGAGTTGGTTTTGACCCATAGCGACCCTGTATAGGGCATCCAAGGAAGCTGCTGGTGAGCTTGAACCGACCGCCAATGTTACAGTTCAAACTGGCTTGCAGTCCAGTACATTAACCCACAGTGCCACACCAGGAGTTCAGTAAAGTGCATGTTGTTGTTGTTGAGTGCCATAGAGTTGATTCTGACCCATAGTGACCCTGTATAGGGTTTCCAAGGAGCAGATGGTGAGCTTGAACCACTAACCTTGTAGTTAAAGGCTTTGCAGTCTGGTGCATTAACCCACAGTGCCACACCAGGACTAGCTACCCCTTAATATAGCCATTTTTGACTCTGGTCTTGAATCCTTTGGTTGGTAAAATGCCCTACTTGGCATTTTGTCTAAAAGGTCTCTACTTAAACAACATTAAAGAGTTGTTTTCAAAGATGTGAACACTGAATGAGACTCAAATTAACACACTTTGGTGGGAACTCATCATTCCTGATTCTAGCTCTCCCTAGTGGACTCCTGGTGTGGCACTGTAGGGTAATGCACTGGACTGCAAAGTCAACTTGAACCGCAAAATCGGTGATTCAAGCTCACCAGCCGCTCCTTGGAAACCCTAAACAGGGTTGCTATGGGTCAGAACTGACTCGATGGCACTTAACAACAACAAGAAGTGGCTATGGTATTTTTAATCCCCTCATATGTGTGTGAAATTTGGACAAAGAATAAGGAAGACTAAAAAAACCGATGCATATGATTTTGATGAAGAGTACTGAAAGTACCATGAATGCCAGAGGAACAGAGAAATTTGTCTTGGAAGAAGTATAGCCAGAATGCTATATGAGGATAGTGACGCTTTGTCTGTCTTATTTTGGACATGTGGTCAGAGGGACCAGTCCCTGGAAAAAGACATTATGTTTGATAAAGTGAAGGGTCAGCAAAAAAGAGGAAGACCCCCAACACGACAGATTAACACAGTAACAGAACAGTGGACTCAGACATAATAACAATTATGAGGATGGCGTAGGATCGGGCAGTGTTTTGTTCTGTTGTGTACAGATAGGGTTACTAGGAGTCGGAACCGACTAGACAGCACCTAACAACAGCAATAACAAGTAACGAGGAGCCCTCCAAGCATAAAGGACTGGAGCAGACAAGCAGGACATTTCCATCAGATTTCATCAGCTACTACTTCCGAGTTTTGCCACATGGTTTTAACTGCAGGCTGCATTCTCCTCACAATAGCTTTTCTTTCCAAGTCTCCATAAACTTTATACCCTAAAGTTGTTCTTCTTGTTGGTTGCCATGAAGTTGGCTATCCCATGGCGATGGATTTAACAGATTGAACTGTTGCCCAGGCCTGTGCATCTTCGTGATCATTGATATGCTTGAGACCCTTGTTTTGGTGGCTGAGTCAGTCCATCTCATGGAGGGTTTCTCTCTGCTTCACTGACCCTCTACTTTTCCAAACACCATATCCTTTTCTAGAGATTGTTTTGTTTGTTCTTTACCATCACCACAGTAAAAGCTGAGAATCATTTGATTTGAGTGTTGACTTATGAAAGAAGGGTGGGATATATATATATATATATAATAGCACTATAGGATAAGCACTGGGCTGCTAACCACAAGCTGCTAACCTACCAACCATTCCTTGGAAACCCTTTACAAGGTCACTATTGAGTTGGAAACGACTCTACAGCACTTAACTAGAACAATAGAGAAAATTAATTACTATTAAATGTAAAACCAGACATTGGTGGTTGTATTATTTTGTCACCCATACACAAAAGCAAATGTCTTTAGTAATGAAGAGCAAAGTTTTCTTCTAATCATTAGAAATTATATTTGATCCTAAGAATCCAACACTGTACCCTGTCTGCCTGTGATAACAGACAGGTAACTCTCACCACAGTAATTAAAGTGCTCTTGGTGGCCCTACCTTTGTAGGATAACAACTACTGACAGCTCTCTTGTCAGTGTAAGCCATAAGAGCTTCCTCCTGTCTGAGGCTCATGAGAGAGGCATTAAGAGCTGTGGATGTCGCGCTTTGACAGTGGTGATGGGATGGAGACCGACAGAAAAAGCTGACTGATTAAAACAAACATTGAAGCACTTTTGATTAAAACTCTCTGCTTTTCCCGGTCCTCCTGAACTCTGCAATGAAATGGTGCAAAGTCAGGGACAAAACTCTTTGAGCATCTGCCCAAAAGAACCATTCCATTGAGGTCACTGGACTGAGAGGGAAGTGGCAGCATGGTGTTTGACAATCGAATTCTGAGAAATTTGCTGTCAGGGTTCATGTCTAGCAAGTGAGTTTCCATGTCTGGGGGTACCTTCTCAGACGGAGATGGATGGAATACTGGAAGGAGTGTGGTGTAGTGAGGAAGGACACAAGAAATTAGGAGTCCTGGCTCCTCTGCCAACTAGCTGTGTGATTCTGGAAGTCCTATAACCTCACTAAGCCTCAATTTCTTCACCTGTAAAATAGAGGTAAATAACACTTGTGCTTGTAGGATCAGTTGAAGCTTGAATTAGTTATATATGAGGAGCTTAAAAATGTTCATGGAAAGATGGAATTAAGAGATAATGGAATTTTTCCACGATCTTTTTGAAGTCCCCTTGTATGTGTAGCAGTTCTTTCTGAAACTGCAAAACACTGCAAATCCTACATGTGGATCTACCTGGTGGCTGAACCAAGGGTCTTGCCTCTTTCTCCTTCATTTACTTCCTGCATCCTTTACCTCTAGCCATATTCAGGCTGTGTTTCCATTGAAGACTGTGCACAGGGTATCTCTCTTTTCCAAGAAGATGTAGTGGGGAATTATTATTGCCTTCTTTTTCTTTTCTCTCCCATTTTGTAAATGGGGATAGTGATTATCTTATAGGAATGTTGTAAGGGTCAAATAAAATATGTGAATGCTCTTTGGAAACAATCTAAGCAATAGTAGGCAATACAGTGGTTAAGACTATGGGTTGGAAGCAGAGTGCCCATGTTCCTGTGCGGGCTCGAGTTCGTACTGACTATGGGTCCTTGGGCAAGTCTGTGCCTCAGTGCTTTTAAAGTGAGGATGATAACAGCACCTACTTCATAGGATGTTGTGAAAAACATGAAAAAAAAAATGTGAAGTATCTGAACCGAAGAAAATGGTTAGTGTTGGTCATTACTGGTTTTCACCTATGTAGTGCCATTTTGTTTTAGAAGGTTTTCACATAAAGTGACCTATTTGATCTTTGTTGTTGCTGTTGTTAAGTGCCATTGAGTTGGTTCTAACCCATAGTGACCCTGTATAGGGTTTCCAAGGAGGGACTGGTGAGCTTGAACTGCCAACCTTGCGGTTCAAAGCGACTTTGCAGTCCAGTGCGTTAACCCACAGCGCCACACCAGGACTCCATGTTGTTGTTGTTGTTGTTCGTGCCATCAAGTTGGTACCGACTCATAGCGACCTTATGCACAGCAGAATGAAACACTGCCTGATCCTGGGCCAACCTCACTACTGTTGCCACGCCTGAGTCCATCAATGCTGCCACCTGGCCAATCCATCTGGTTGGGGTCTTCCTCTTTTTCTCTGGCGGCCCTCCACCTTACCAAACATGATATCCTTCTCCAGTGACTGGTCCCTCCTGTGTAACCCTGTAATTTATAAATCATTTTCTCCAGTTTTACAGGTGAGGCAACTTAAGGCTCCGTTACTAAAATAAGTAATTACAATTGCTGAACAAAGTGAAGAGACAAGATTTATTTCCTGGCTCCTACACTCAGTTCTTTCTATTCCAGTCCTGGTGTGGCACTGTGGGTTAATGTGTTGGACTGCAAAATGTGCTGGACTGCAAAGTCGGTTTGAACCGCCTGGTCGGCAGTTCAAGCTCACCAGCTGCTTCTTGGAAACCCTATACAGGGTTGCTGTGGGTTGGAACCAACTTAATGGCACTTAACAGCAACAACGCTCAGTTCTTTCTATTCCAAGAGGCATTATTTTCCCTGAGAAAGTGTCCACTAACTGTGTGGTTCGGTCTCTTGATTGGTTGCCACCCTTCCAAAACCTGAGGAAGTCAAGTTTTTCTCTGCCTTTTACCTTCCAAATTGTGTTCGTAACCAGAGAACAACCTTCCTTTCTAGCTGATATGTTTTCCCATGAGGACAGTGGCCCTGAGCCAGACTGGGTTTTGTCAGAACGGGAGCAGTTTAATGAATTCCGAGATCTGAACAAGGATGGAAAGTTGGACAAAGAAGAGATTCGCCATTGGATCCTCCCTCAAGATTATGACCATGCGCAGGCTGAGGCCAGGCACTTGGTGTATGAGTCAGACAAAAACAAGGTATTTGACAATCTTCTGGAATCATCTGTTGAAAGCAGAAAATTTACATAAGATTGGTTTTGTTTGCTTCTTTGGCGATAGCATTGACCTGCCTGCCCTATCCTTATTGACATTTCTTACTCTTGCTTTATAGAAGAAACCTGTAAACATGACCCAATACCTTGATAACCCACAGTGAGTTCATTAGCCCCGACATTCACTGATAGTCTGCTATGAGTCACAAGACTTACATTAAGTCACTTATCCTAGAATCACAGAGCCAGTAGCTTTATTTGAAGTGAGCAAGACATGGATGTAAGAAGTATATTTGTATTGTCCTAGTATGTGCATGGAGTCCTTCTGTGGCTTTGTAGAATCAACACTGGACTTTCTAACCATAAGGTTGGTGGTTCAAACCCACTAGCTGCTCCTTGAAAATCTTATACAGGGTTGCTATGAGTCAGAACTGACTCAACAGCATTTAACAACAACAGTATGAACTTACTCATCCATTGATTCAGCCTATGATGTAGTAGGCACACAGAAGCTTATCATATTAGAGCCCAGCTATCCCTGGGCAACCTCAAATTCTTTTGGCCATGTTTTCTAGGAAGGATTATTTCAGAGTAAGTCCAGGCCTGGTGATTTGCTTCCAAGAGTCTGTTCTTCTCTGCAAGTCCCCTTGTATATGTCACACCTTGGAGTCTCCATTAGTCAGACTTGACTCAATGACAACTAAACAATAAAACTAATATTTCGGATTCTTTAAAGATTCTTAGCACTTTAATACTCATTGATCAATATCCAAAAATTAGTAAAATTTAGAAAAAAGTCCTGCCTCATCCACTTTGAGCATCACTCCAAATTCTCATGAAACGTCAGTTAGGCAATAAAAGGGAAATGTAATTCTCAGGACCTGTGTTGGGAATCCCAGAACTACTTTTAGACACAAGTGGATTGTACTTCTGTATTATTCAAAGACTCAACTGATGTATTTTAGCACATTTTTTTGTAGTAGGAGGTTGTTCTAATTGGGGTTTTGAAAGGCAGGTAATGGTCAAAGAGGTTGTTTCTTCCTTGTTAAGTGTAGTGCTTAAAATGTTGCAAATCAATGAAATAACATGAATTTCATGCTGAACTGACAGTTTTACAAGGGCTTCTTTTACAGACCTCTTCATTCTCTCCTCCTACAGGATGAGAAGCTGACTAAAGAGGAGATATTGGAGAACTGGAACATGTTTGTTGGAAGTCAGGCTACCAATTATGGGGAAGATCTCACAAAAAATCATGATGAACTTTGATACACACTCAAGCAGACTGTTGGAAGCTTTCTTATTGTTTTGGATGGTTGTTCCAGTTGTCTAATTTACACCAGTTGTGTCTGACAAAAAACCCAACAATTTTAATACCTCTAATTGAGGTAAACATTGATTTTCTTTTGATATTTACTGCAAGATAGTCATCACTATTCTTTCAGTAAGATTCTTTCAAAATACATTCTAATCTTGGTAAATTATGATTCTCCATGGAGATGCATTGCTAAAACATGACTTTTCAGGTTTTTTTTCTATTAAGTTTGAACTACACTGAACTAAAGCTTGAAAAAGCCCTATTATTCTGGGAGTAGGGGTGGGGGTTGGGGATGGGGCACTATATAGAATGACTGATAATGCATTTGAATTACCAGTGTTTTTACATTTGCCGTTGTTAAATAGTTGGTGGGGAAAATTCTGGTTTTCTAGGTAGGCTTATTTAAAAGTAAGTCTGATATTTTGAATTCTTCCATTTTTGAATTTGTACTCTGAGCTGTGACTGTAAATGGTGTGTAAAGTATTTGAATTCATTTTCCTGTATGGACCCACTAATGTGCACAGTGAATCCACCTCTTTGGTTTTTGTTTTTTTTATAATAAGCAATAAAGAAAGATAATGTGAAAACATAATAAACTTCAGAGGTAGAGAAGATGAATGTCAAACATATGAAAAACCATACGAAAATGGTGCAAACACTTTAAGTATACTTGAGAAAATTTTCTTGACATACCATTGAGGGAGATGAAAAACTGATCTTTGGTCACCGACTGGAATGAGGCTATGAGGCAGTGTACTGGAAGACATGTGGTATGCTGGAACATGGCCACCTCAGTCCTGGAGCGCCCATGACCCTCAGACCTGTACCCAAGACAGCTTACATCATGGAATAAGGATGAGGTGCTGTTCCAAGCCAATGACTGGTAGAATAAAAGCCTTTAACAGGTTGGAATTCCACCCTGTTTAGTAGGAAGTGAATGGAATAAAGGATTACACTGAGGGTATTCTACTGTGTGCTATGGTGTTTGACTTCACACAGGTTATTTGTGACCTCATTATTCCTAAAGACATACTAATGGGGATGGGATTGCATGAGTAAAATCAATAAAAGTTTGTTTTTTAAGGTTCAGTTACTATAGTGTTCTGTATTTCCATGGTCTTATACTAGATTTTCTAGAGAAGCAAAACCAGTGAAACATATATATTTGTGTATATATATAAAGAGAAGTTTATAATCAAGGAAATGGCTTACAATGGTAGAGTTCCAGGTCCTCAGTGGAATTGAGAGAGAGTCCCTCCCTGTATCCATTATACTGGGAGCAGGCCACACACCCAAGGAAGCATCCTGTCAATTGATTGGCTGCTCATAGCCACTCATCATAGTTAGCTCTGACTATATAAGGTTTCATCACCATGGAAACAAGCACATTGTAACTGCTAAACCATGGGAATCCTGGCCTAGTAAGTGGACAAAGAATCCTAATTATGACACCCATTCTAACTAATTTAATATATGTCTATATACTTCCTTCTCTATGCTAGTAGGGAATCTGCAGGCCATTTTGACTAAGATCTTTCTGAGACAAGTTTCAGTGGAAGAAAGAAAGTCCAGACTTGATACAATGTCTCCACCTGCCTTTACAACATTATCTCCTTCTTATCCCAGCTCCACTGACTTCCTTTTTGGTTCTCAAATGTATTGAACATCTCAGTTTGCTAGTGTTGCTGCTGTAAAAACAACAAAAGGACACACAAGTGGGTGACTTTAAAGAATACATTTGTTTTCCACAATTCTGGAGGTCATCATTCTGTACACAGGGCACGGCTTTAGGAGGAGGCCCATCTTTCTCAATTCAACTCCTAGCAGAGGTCCTGGTGTGGCACTGTAGATAAGCACTGGACTACTAACTGTAGATTGGCAGTTCAAACACACCAGCTGCTCCTCAGAAAACCCTAAGCAGGGTTGCCATGAGTTGGAAGCAACTCGAAAGTACTTGAGAACAGTATCTGTTGACAGCTGCCAACAATCCTTAACGTTTTGTAGATGCATTTCCCCAGTGTGTCTGTGTGCACATGGTGTCTCCTCCCTGCATGTGTGCATCTTTGCCTGTTCTTTTGTATGTACCACTCAGATAGGATTAGGTTTAGGACACCCTGCTCTGGCATTCTTTCATTAACATAACAAAAGATAACCTTCACTTCCAAACAGGGGCATATTATAGGTAGAAGGGCTAGAACTGCAAATATATTTTGGGGGAACAAAATTTAATCCATATCACTGAGTTCATTCTAGGGTGGACCTTGTACTTGGCTGCTCCCTTGGATTCAGAAAACCCATCTACCACATCCTCCAAGGCCAGGTAATGCACATAAAACCTTCGGACCCAACTATTCAAAGTAGTCCCCACTCTTGTTCCTATCTTATTTCCCTATTTTATTTTCTTCTTGGCACATATGGCCATTTGCATTTTGTTTCCTAGGACTACCATAAAATGACCACAAAGTGGGTGACATACAGCAGGTGCTGATTCAGTTTTGGGGGCCAGATGGACCATGCTCCCTTCAAAGACTCTAGGAGAAGACTTTGCCTTTTCCAGCTTCTGGTCACTTCAAGCTTTCTTTGGCTTGTGATTTCATCATTCTAATGCTCCATCTGGTTAATCCAGGATGATTTCATCTCAACACCCTTTATTACATATGCAAAGACCTGATCTCCAAGCAAAGGTCGCATTCATAAGTTCTGGAAGTTAGGACTTGAACATATCTTTTTGGGAGCATCATCATTCAACCTACTGCACCATTTGACGTCTGGTTTGTATGCTACCTGTCTCTCCTTGGCAGAATACGAGCTCCATGAAAGCAGGAGTCTGGTCTGTCTTATACTGCAGTTTCCCAGGAGAAACCTTAGAATCTAGCATATCAGGGGGCATCAAAAGTTCCATTCCTTTTTATTCCAATTTTCTATTAAATTTTTGAAGCTCCCTCATATAAGCTGTTGTGGTTGCTGCTAAGTGCTATCAAGTCAGTACTGACTCATGTCAACCTTATGCACAACAGAAATGAAACATTGCCCAATCCCTCGCCAACCTCACAATCATTGCTATGCTTGAGCCCATTGTTGCTGCCACTGTGCCAATCCATTTGGTTGGTCGTCTTCCTCTTTTTCACTGACCCTCTACTTTACTATACATGATGTCCTCCTCAAGGGGCTGGTCCCTCCTGGTAATATGCCCCAAGTATGAGAGATGACAGTGTTTCTTTGCTATTCATAAGGTTTTCAGTGACTAAATACTCAGAAGTAGTTCGTCACTCCATCTTCCTAGTCTGTTTTCATTTGGAAGCTCATCTGAAACCTGTCCACCATGGGTGACCCTGCTGGTATTTAAAATACCGGTGGAATCGCTTTCAGAATCACAGCAACTCACAAGCCACGACAGTATGACAAACTGACAGATGAGTGGTGAAGAAAATGAAAACAAGTCCATAAGAGCCAAAATATGACCTTGAATATATCCCACCTAAATTTAGAGATCATCTGAAGAACAGATTTGGTACATTAAGCACTAAAGATCAAAGACTAGAAGAGTTGTGGGATGACATCAAGAACATCATACGTGAAGAAAGCAAAAAGTCATTTAGAAGGCAAGAAAGAAGTAAAAGGTCAAAATGGATGTCAGAAGAGACACTGAAACTTGCTCTCCAGTGTAGAGATGCTAAAGCAAATGGAAGAAATGAGGAGGTCCAAAAGCTGAACAGAAAATTTCAAAGATCAGCTCAAGAAGATAAAGCCAAATATTACAACAAAATGTGCAAAGATCTGGAATCAGAAAACCAAAAAGGAAGAACACACTCAGCATTTCTCAAGCTGGGGGAACTGAAGAAAAAATTCAAGCCTCAACTTCTGTTATTGAAAGATTCTCTGGGCAAATTATTGAATGATGCAGAAAGCATCAAGAGAAGATGGAAGGAATACACAGAGCCACTGTACCAAAAGGAAGTGGTTAATGTTCAACCGTCTCAAGAGGTAGCATATGATCAAGAGCCAATGATACTGAAGGAGGAAGTCCAAGGTACATTGAAGGAATTGGCAAAGAACAAGTCACCAGGAACTGATGGAATAAAAATGGAAATATTTCAAGAAAGTGAGGCGACACAGGAGCCACTCACTCATCTATGCCAAGAAATCTGGAAGACAGCTATCTGGCTGACTGATTGGAAGAGATCTGTATTTGTGCCCATTCCAAAGAGAGGTAACCCAATGGAATGTGGAAATCATCGGACAATCTCTTTGACATACCATGTGAGTAAAGCTTTACTAAAGGTAATACAGAAACAACTGCAAGCATACATTGACAGAGAACTTCCAGAGGTTCAAGCCAGATTCAGAAGAGGCCTTGGACATTGCTGATGTCCAATGGCTGAAAGCAGAGAATGTAAGAAAGATGTTTGCCTGTGCTTTACTGACTACGCAAAGGTTTTCGATTGGGTGGATCATGACAAGCTATGGACAACATTGTGAAGTATGAGTATTCTAGAACACTTAATTGTGCTCATGGGGAATCTGTACTTGGACCAAAAGGCAGTTGTTCAAACAGAACATGGGAACAATGAATGGTTTAAAATTAAGAAAGGTGTGCGATAGGGTTGTATGTTTCACCACACTTATTCAAGCTGTATGCTGAGCAAATAATCTGATAAATTGGGTTCTATGAAGAGATACTTGGCATCAGGTTTGGAGGAAGACTGATTAACAACCTGCGATATGCAGATGATACAAACTTTCTTGCTGAAAGTGAAGAGGACTTAAAACATTTATTGATGAAGATCAAAG